GAACTTTTGACCTAGCGGCTGTAAGTTGAACATCTTAATTACGAAGCCATCTCTACATGCCCATACTAATCACCCGAAAAACCCCTGAAGGTTACAGAATGAATCTTTGATAGGATTGTAGATTCACACTGTTCAGTACTTCGATACTTGGATGAAACAACTATCTTGTAATCTTTGGTTAAATTCAGTCCTTGATATAAAAAATCTTACCAAATCTTCTACACTAAACAAAGACCAAATTTTAGCCCATAGGATCATAATTTAAACATGATTTCAATAAAAACATTCACAATAATAGTCAAGCTGAATAGTCGTCGGAAAACTATATAAATTCACGATTGAATGGCAGTTTACTGTTCATAAAGTGTGATTAAAACATTACTTTTGATCAAAGATGAAAGGTGGCTAACCGTAAAATCCAGGATGCACGTTTTGTTTTATTCGTAACTCATCAGTTGGATGTACTTGTATCCCAGAGTTGATGTACACTCCAGAACTTGAACCCAGTATCGTTTACTTCAAACGCTATTACGTTATCCACTTAACTACTGGTAGTCAATAAATAAATAAATAATGCAATCGAGTTTAGAGTGAACAATAATGAATTTGAGTCTTGGAGTGAACATCAACTTCAGGATGCAGGTACATCCAGCTGACGAGTCCCAAATAGGACGAAACGCGCATCAAACTGGATTCCACTACTAATCACTATCCATCTTTGATTGAAATACTTGTGACCTAAGGCAATATCGAAGCAATCCGTCCAGTATGCATACGTGTCAATAAGAGACTAATCAATTACACTTCTAAACATCAATGAGAAGATTCAAGTAGAACAACACCAAGTCAATAATAGTTATCATTAATGTTTTCTATGATTATCTGTATTGATTTATCAATATAGTTGCTTGTGAATAAAGAAAAGAAAATGACCCCTCTGGGTATTTTTTTTTCTTCTAAATTTGTCAATAACACCTTATAATAATTACTGGCTAAAAATAATTCCTCTAACCATTTATAAGTGATTAGATCAAAGTTATTTTCATTTTCATTTATCATTCTTTTATCCATTAGTGTAAATAGTCTTATTAGAATGGGAGTTTATGAAGATTGCAGTGATTCTTTTAATAGTTGAATTCATGAGTTCAGTCCGCCCTCTCTCTCTCGAAATGCTCTCACATGGCCACGTGTATATAGCCTCTGCCAGGGAACTCTTACTTACTGCCTTATCGTACCACGGGTGTTGTTTACGAAAATGAGAGGACGAAAAGCGAATGTCCGGCGTTTTAACCGGATCCTAAACCAATGGTGCATATGGGCTGGATCTAGTATCCTGAAAGAACAAATAGCGTATGAACCAATCGTTGATCACCGGCTGGCTACCATGGGACTGCATCTCCTCGCGATGCTCAACTGCCTTGTGGATCAGACCTTTAGGTTGAAGGCTCGGGGTGTGGCCCCCTAAGAAAACCATCTGCTTCGGTTTGGGCACCCGGTCAGTATCACAGCCCTCACACATATCAAATGAGATGTGTGTAGCGCATATATATTTGGTGTCTCCTTGTACCAATATTTATGTGTTTAAATAAAAATATAAATAATAATCTAGACCACCGTTGAAAACCAGAAAGCGCTGGATGCCAGTTTCATTCTAGTATGGGACTCTTCAACAGTGCACATCTACGATCCCACACGTGGGACTTGAACTTAATAACACGGTTGAACGCCGACTTAGTGGTCTACAGATTAAGCGTTAGCGTACGAAACAGAAGGTCCTGGGTTCGATTCCTGTGGACGAGCACTGCTGAGGTGTCCTATAACAGGACGAAACGGCTATCCAGTGTCTCCAGGTTTTCAATCGTGATCTAGCTCACATTGATTTATGAATTCAACTAGTAAATAGTTTTAGTTAGTTCTTTTGATTTGACTTAAGAAAAAAACCCAGTGTACACTTAGATAAAACGATTCAGACTAAATATTCTACAATTTTCAAGTACTTTAAATGATAGAAATTCCAATATTATAAGTGAGAACTATATAGATGTAAGCGAAAAATATTGTTTACAATTAGATTCTCATCAAGCTTTACTCTAATATATATGAATATTTAAGATGGTGGTTGGAGGTAGTCAATAGGAAACCCTGGATCCGGGTTTCGTGCTACTTGACACTCATCAGCGAAGGAACTGGTACTCCCTGACGGATTCGATCCCGTGACACCCAGCTTCACAGTCAGAGACTTTACCACTGAGCTATCTGGTCCGCATTTCATTTCGGTATCCCAATACACTTTCTATTTCACTCTTGCGCTCTCATCCAAGTAGTCAGTTGTGGGGGGGGGTTAACACGTAGCACATAGTATATATTAGTATCAGATTTCGGACATCGCATATCACAATAGCTCCTGGTGATGGTAATTTTGTCAAACCCATGCGAAAATAAATAAAATTCCAGAATATCGGCTGCAACAGACCAGCTTAAGTTTATTTTACAGTAGTATTAAAAAAAAATTCTTCAGAAAATTCTGTAGATGAATCATTTCAATCAACATATTATGAATAAGCTCTAGTTTCTTGTTTCTACTATCGTCTAAGCACATCTTCCTGTTGATGTAATGTAACAAATTGGACTATTCCATTAAGATGGTGAAGTTTTGTAATTCAAGTGGATGATTTTGATAAAGTTTTGTTCTTTGAACTGGATGATTTGGTTGTGGAGTTTTCATCGTTCGTCTGAACGATATCATCATCATTAGCAGTAGCAGTACAAACTTCAGATAGGAGTGAAGCGTTCGAATTTGTCCATATATAGTTCACAGCTTGTCCTGTACACCTCGATGTTGATTGGTTCTTGTTACACATCAGAGATCGAACCATGAACTTATGGTTCATAGTAATTAATCATGTGCTTTTTAGTGACTAACTTTGAAAAGTGATTCCGGAATTTTACTGAGAAGCCATGATCACTGGAGTTCAACAATGTTGAATGTGAGACAGTTACCCAGTAAACAGATTCAAAATTTGTTATGTCATGCCCTGATACGGCCGAGAGTGGTGTGAGTCAGTTCTCTCTTTACAAATGCTCACACATAGCCACGCATATACAGTCACTAACAGGGAAGTCATACTCACTGCCTTCTCATGGCAGAGGTGTTATTTATGAAATCGAGAGGACGAAAAACGAATATCCGGCGCTTCAACCGGGCTCATGGATATGGAGGATCCACTTGGGAGAGTTGGAAAACCATGATTCCAAACTAATGGTGTACATGGGCCCCACAAATGGTATATAAATCAATCATTAGTCACCGGCTACCGTGGGACTGTATCTGCTGACGTTAGTCCACTATCTTGTGGATAAGACCTTTAGGTCGAAGTCTCCGAATGTTTACCCCTAAGAGAACCACCTGATTTGGTCTGGGCACTCGGTTAATAATGTTATTAACAAAAACAGTAAGACTATTACTATGGTTACTAATATCATTACTACTACTTCTATAGTTTTCAACAACTAGTAGTGAAATATTATTCTGTTCATCGTTTTTCAAGCAACTTATATAGTTTAGATAAAGTGGTTTTATGAAGAGTATTTTAACATGTAAAAGGTATTAATCACTGCTAAGATGAACCAGCTGTTCAATACACCTTGGTTTTATCAGTATTGGAGTTGTGGAGATTATTAAGTTTTTGATTGAGATCATGAATCGACTGATTTTAGACCACCGTTGGAAACCTGGAAGCACTGGATGGCCGTTTCGTCCTAGTATGGGACTCCTCAGCTGTACGCATCCACGATCCCGCGAGAGGGATTCGAACCCAGGGCCTTCAGTCTCGCGCGCGAACGCTCAACCTATTGGACCACTGAGCCGGCATCTAAAGGTGTTATTGATGTCTAACTTCAACCAATCCATGAAAATGCTCGACCATCTTCCATTGTACTGAGGTAGACACCTGTTTCTACCCGACAAGGATTAGCTCCACTGGTCACGGCTTTGAATGGTACTCCAACTGACATCAATCAATAACGAATATCTACTCAAAATAATCTCAAGGCAGTTAAAAGTATGAGAGAAGGCTTATCACTTCTCATCTGCTCATAGAGTGGGATTTAATTTCTTCAGGTATCTGAAAATAAAACTGGGTTAGAAGTGACCTAAGGATTTAGAAAGAAGAATAATCCAGAATTTCTACATATAGCTTCTCTATTGAACCATCCATCTCAGTGAACAAATCATGAGTACCACAAATACCTGCATATCAATAACAGTTATATGCACACTAATGATTAGCTTTAGGATGTAACATCTAGAGTTCTAGTGAGAAGGCATGATCAGTAGAGTTTAATCCGTATCGGGTGTGAGACAGTTACTCATCAAAGATAATGAAAGATGATTGCGCAATATCATTAGATTGATTGAATTTAGACATTAATATCGTTGAATGCTGGTTCATTTGTCTAGAGATTGAGTGTTTGTATGTGAGATCAAAGGTTTTGGATTTGATGAAAGATGAGGGTTCATGGGTGCGTAATACAAAAGAGTCTCATATAAGGATGAAATGGTTGTCCTGTGCTTCCAGATTCCAAATGTTGATCAGTTCGTGATTTCAATTTGTACATTCGTTTAAGATTCATTTTAATATGAACAACAATCCCTTATTCAGCAAAGTTCAATGGTAACTAGCAATGTGATCGAGGAAACTCATTTCATTCTATTAGGAGCTCGTCATTTGGATATGCCTACACTTCAGTGTTAATGTTCACTTATGGACTCGAACCCAGTACCGTTCCATCACGTTATTCACTTAGCTACTGAGTCCTGTTAGTCACTTGCTTGTACAATGGGATAAAGTTTGAATTCATTTGTTATTGTTCACTTGAATCATTCCATTGATATTTAGGACCGCAATTAATCTGTCTGTTATTGACATATGTACATCCTGTGCGGATTGCTTCGATATTGCTTTAATTCATAAACATTCTAAGCAAAGGATGAAATATCCTTCAAACTGGATTTCACTACTAGTCACTATCCATCTTTGCTTATAAAGCTTATGACTTAAAACAATAACAAGTCAGTTTGATCAATTACAATCCTTAACATCAATGAGAAGATTCAAACATACAATACAAAAATAGATTAAAACTTTTCCCCTATTTCTTCAAACTTTTGACTATCTGAACTCAATAGCTAGGTGAATAACATGGTAGCATTTAAAATGAACGATTATCGGTTCAAGTCCTGAACTGAATATTAGCTACATTTAACTGACGAGTCCTAAATAGGACGAAACACACGTCAAAATGGATTTCCCCCGTTAGCAACTATCCATCTTCATCATAAAAAAAAAGAAATATAACTCAAATATATGTTCTTCTAACAAATCAATATCGTGTTTTCATTACTCAAATATTAAAAAATAAAAATAGGGATAGGGGTCAATAAATTAATGAACTATTTACATGAATCCATAAGAAAATAAGATCGTTCAATGGAACTTGGGGATAAAAATTGTACCACTTTTTTTTATTTTCTTTTATTCATCCCCCTATTCAAATTCAAATGCTGGCCATCGACATATTGGACAATCTAAACACTTGAAGAATAAAACACATACACACACACACAAACATGAATATAGTAAAAGACAAATCAATAATTCTGAATATATGGATCATTATAATGTATAATGAATGTAGAAGATCAATATTCTATTGGTAAGATTATCGTTGGATGCCGTCTCAGTGGTTTAGTGGTTAAGTGTTTGTGTGCGAGACCGATAGGTCCTGAATTCGAATCCTGAGAGCGGGGTCGTGGATGCGCACTGTTGAGGAGTCCCACAATAAGACGAAACATCCATTCACTGCTTACAGGTTTCAAATGGTGGTCTAGCTTCAACTGACTCATGATCTTAACCATTGAAATTACTACAATCTCCACAAAACCCATTCTGATATTTATAGATGAACCAATCAGAGATAAGATAAAAGGTCTTGGATTTTTGGCGAGAAATTCATTCATCCATTTGGATAAATAGGGTTTTAGCATTATAGCTGATGTCAGTTCGTGATGAAAACCCGAAATCTAATTTCTGGCCTTAACCCTCATTCAGTCCTTGTTACTAGGTAGACACTCTCAAGGTCACCTAAACGCCGCTCAAAGGTCGTCCATAAATTATAGTCTTACCGTCAATTAAAACTAGATCATCATGGAACACATGGAAGCACTGAACGGTCGTTTTGTCCTAGTATGGGACTCCTTAGCAGTGTGTAATCATGATCCCAGAATTTGAACCCAGGACCTATCAGTCTCACGCGTGAGCACTTAACCTCTAGACCACTGAGCTGGCATCCAACGGTGTTAATGACTAACTTCAATTAATCCACGAAATCGAGCCACTGTCCACCGCCACCTTTCTGATAATCATCATCTGTTTATTAGTGACTGGCTTCAAAAGGTATTGCCCGGAGTTCTAGTGAGAAGCAGTAACCAGTAGAGTTCAACCAGATCTCTTATGAGTTTGTAACTCATTGAAAACAATAGCGGACGGTAGCGCATGTTCCAAGTTTACTGTATGTTACCACATATCCAAAGTAATCATGTTTAATTTTTGATTTCTGTTCGGAATATAAACCTATTTTGAAAGTCCTATATATATATACATATATTAGCATGTGGATTATTAACGTCGAAGTATCGTCTTACGTCAAATGTCCGATCTTTTAGAGCTCATGATTGTTTTTCTTCAGACTAATGGATCCTTCATTAGTTCATAAATAGAACATACCGTAATACATGATCGTCTTTATCAGGATATAAAAGTCTGAATTATTACATCATTAATAATTAGAATTATTCTAGAAACTATAAGCAAAGATGGATAGTGGCTAGCAGTAGAATCCAGTTTGACACGCGTTTTGTCCCATTTGAGACACGTCAACTGAATGTACCTGTATCTCAGAGTTGATGTTCACTCTATGACTCTAATCCAGTACTATTCGCTTCAAACTCCTTACATTTCATAAACTTACCTGAAAGTCTTTCTTCTCGCTAAAATCGCTTACATTCTCATTCCGTATATCTATAAGATAGATTATACAGTCAAATGAAGTAAGTTTTTCTATTCAGTTAAAACAAACTATCGAATCTTTGATAGAGTTTTATTCTATCTTCTACCTGAAGTTGGTACTAATGATGTCGTTCAGAGGTACGATGAAACTTTCACGATTAAACTATCCAGTTCAGAGAATAGAACTTTATCAAAATCATCCACATGAGTTAAAAATCTTCTCCACTATCTTAAAACTATTCGGTCATAGTTTTTAATATCACCATTCTATATGACAGATTCAGTAAAGAATATCAATTAGTTAACCAGATTTGCTTTTAACTTAACAAATATGGTAGAATCCTGATCAAATAGTTGAATACAATACACATTAGTGACTAACGTTGACTAGACAACCACTGAAAACCTGGGAGTACATGACAGTTAGTCCATTGAAGTGTGAGTTCAGCAATAATGGGCACCAGTGAAATTGCCCGAGGCTCTAAACTCCTGGACTCGGTTTGTGTTGAGATCGTGAATCCGCATTGTTGAGGAGTTCTATGTTAGAAGGAAACACTTGTTCAATGCTTCCTTGTTTTTATTGTTTATCAAACCAAAAAAAACTGATAGTGACATGAAAATGCATGCTTAGCAATCTCTATATCATCATTTAAGACGGTTACTTGCCAAAGAAAATCGAGAACGGTTGCTCAATATCGTGGATTGATAGAAGTTAAACATAAACACCATTGAATGCCAGTTCAATGGTCTAAAGTTTAAGTGTTCGCACGCAAAACCACAGGTTTTGGATGCGATTGCCTACTACGGGTTTGTGGATGTGCACTACCGAAGAATAATTTTCTGGTTAGCGTTTTTTAGAGAGTTAGTTTTCTACGGGATGGGGTCGCTAACCCCATGTCCAACCCTCCTCGTTTATCCGGGTTTGGGACCATCAATAGCCCCCGGAGGGACTCCAGGCGGAGAACTACAAAATCCATTATCCAGGAGATACAGGTGTTTATTAACAGTTGTCTACGTAAAATACTTGTAATCCGTTAGCCAGACACTATTAGCAACAACCTACTGTGGGAGAGAACAAATCAGATCCCAGTGGAGGAAGAAATCAGGAAGAATCACTAGAAGTGGATAGGACAGATATTCAGGAAAGCGCCGGACTGCGTCCCAAGGCAAGCCCTCACATGAAATCCTCAAGGCGATATGAGAAGTGGAAGACCAAAGAACACATTACACCGAGAAATGGAGATAGACATGTGAAAAATGAACAAGAAATGGATGGAACTAGAAAAGAAGGCCTAGGACAGAGTGGGTTGGAGAATACTGGTCGGCGGCCTATGCTCCATTAGGAGTAACAGGTGTAAGCATGTAAGTAAGTAACTACCGAAGAATTCCATACTACATGAAAATAATGGTTCAGTGCTTCCAGTTTTTCTAATGGTTGCCTAACATAGATGTATTCATCATCTCAATAAAACTTAGCAGACTCCATAACCATACACTTAAAATTATTAATATTGATAATTATATCGAATATATTAAAAGTTACCTCTAAAATCCAATCAACAAAACAATCATCATGAAATGCATGAAAACATGGAAGTCGTATTACTTCATCTCCAATACAATACTTTTCCATACATATGATACATTGATCTAATATTTTAACATCGAATACATTTAATAACACACTGGTTGGTAGAACATCTAAGAGTTCAAGGGAAACAGATTCTAAAAAATAAAAAAAAAAGATAATGATAAAAAGTAAAGAGTTAATAGTAGTCAAATCTTTAATAGGATATAAATTGTTTTGTATCCAGGTGGTAGATGGAGATGGTGGACAGGAAACTCTGGATCTCAACATTGTGGTATGAAATATTGATCAGTAAGGTGAACCTGTAATCTTGAGGAGACTGGTACTTCCAGAAGGAATTGATCCCGTCGCCAATTTTCTTACCCCATCTTACAGAAGGTCAGTTGTGACCCGAATAAACTCAGATAGTGATAACATTTCTGACTAACTCAAACAAAACTTTGCCGTCACATAGTGTTATTGCCACATTTATTTGTCCATTAATTCATTCGGGAATCTTAATACCACTGGATGGAAAACAGATGAGAACAGCAGTTTTACAAAATGTCGATTATTGTTAGGACTCTCCTTGTTATAGTTCACTAGGCCATTCGAAGGTAGATCAATACCCTGCTAACGTCACCGCTAATCACATCTACAAATCTACCCTTACTTACAATAGAGTCTGTCAGATTTTCTAAACACTTTCCAAGGAATTAATGTTCGAAAATAAGTAAAGTCTTTACAACTTCAATCGTTAAGCATCTAATGCCCCCGAATGCCCTGGTACGGCCGAGAGTGGCGAGAGTCCGCTCTCCTTCTCCAAATGCTCTCACATGGCCACGCGTATACAGCGTCTGACAGGGAAGTTCTACTCACTGCATTCTCGTGGCGGGGGTGTTGTCTACGAAAATGAGAGGATGAAAAGCGAATGTCCGGCGATTTAACCGGGTCCAAAACCAATGGTGTACATGGGCTGGTAACAGGATCCTGAAGGAACAAATGGCGTATGAACCAATCGTTGGTCACCGGCTGGCTATCATGGAACTGCATCTCCTCACGATGCTCCACTGCCTTGTGGGTCAGACATTCTGGTCGAAGGCTCGAGTTGTGGCCCCCTAAGAAAACCACCTGCTTCGGTTTGTGCACCCGGGCAGTATCACAGCCCTCACACATATTAAATGAGATCTGTGTGGTGTATATATATGTGGTGCCTCCTTGTACCAATATCTATGTGTTAAAATAAATAAACAAAATAAGCACTTAATAGATCGTCTATATAAGATCAACGACAGTTATACATTCATAATAATGAACAAACACCTAACACCAATTTTACTATGTTTTGTAGAGAAAACTACTATACAACTCTTCTGATCGGATCAATATGTTCTCATTTGCATTGTCTAATATGTTCTTTTTCTTAAAAGTAAAACAGACAATAATCTACTTTCACTTCTGAGTGAATAAATAGATGCTTTCATATATATCCCTACTTACAATCCGGCTTACTCTCTTAATAGAAAGAAAGATTTGAAGTATAACAACCAGTTTTATAAGTAAAGATAAATAGTGGTCAGCAGTGGACTCGTCAGCTGAATGTATCTTCATCCAAGTGTTGATGTTCACTCCAAGACTCGAACCCAGTAACGTTTGCTTCAAACGCCATCACGTTATTTATTTAGCTACTGAGTCTTGAATTCAGCGCTGTTTATAAAGCCTGTGACTTAAAGCAATATCGAGGAACTCCGTACAAGATGCACATATATTAATAAGACATTGATCAATTGTAAACCTTAACAAAAAATGGTAAGATACAAGTAAAACACCACCAAGCGAATATAAACTTCATTCTATTGCACAAGCAGGACTCAGTAGCTAAGTAAATAAGGCGATGGTGTTTGAAGCGAATGGTACTGGGTTCGAGTATCAGAGTGGACGTCAACTCAGCGATGCAAGCACATTCAGTTGATGAGTCCTAAATAGGACGAAACATGCGTCAAACTGGATTCCACTGCTAGCTATTATCTATCTTCGCTTATAATGCTTGTAAATTAAGGCTATATCGAAGCAACCTGCACAAGATGCACATATATCAACAAGAGATTGATCAGTTGTAGACCTTAACAGCAATCGGAAGATACCAAATGAATCTGATGACCAATTGTTGTCAATATTAACCAATCAGATTTATTATGACTAGTTAAATGTTCATTGGAAAAATATTTTGAAAGATTGTACACCAGGCATATAAAATGATTCAAAATGGCAAGACTATAATTTATGTGCAGACCAATCAGATTTAAGATATCAGGTCTTTGGCGCGAAATTCATTCATCTATTTGTCTGAATAGTTATTTTGGCATTTTAGCTAATGTCACTTCGTGATCAAAACCCTGAATCTAATTCCTAACCCTAATCATCAATTGTAAATCTATTAGGTCCCGTATAAGCATAATGAATGATAACTTTTTGGGATCTATTTCTGGACTAATACTATACGTATACTTTTATTGTATCATTGTTAAATAACTAAACTATCTGTATATTCATGTCCCTCTTATTATGAGCTTTATTTTGACCTATGAACCATTATTATACGTTTTAACATTGTTGAATTATGCCCTGTCTATTTGTCACTGCCTCCCTCATTCACAGCCACATTTGGTCAGATCTTGTATAAGTGTTGTTTCCTATTTTATTGGTACGATGTAGTCCGTCTGGTTGGTATATAAATCGAGTATGTTTGAAGTAAATGATTCATATCGTGGAGGATGAGATTGATTAGATGGTGATTGGAGGTAGTCGACAGGAAACCCTGGACCAGGGTTTCGTGCTACTTGGCACTCGTCAGCAAGGTGTACCTGTAATCTTCGAGGGAACTGGTGCTCCCTGGCGGATTCGATCCCGTGTCACCCAGCTTCACAGTCAGAGACGTTACCACTGAGCTATCCGGGCCGCGACCGACCTCCTGTAGGACTGAGATGTAATCACAATTGATTGATCACTGGGTGACCAATGTCATGCGTGTCTAGTCCTTATTGTTAGTGCAGATCGAATGCCATCGATCATGTTGCAATGTGGCCACAACATGATCGATGGCATTCGATCTGCACTAACAATAAGGACTAGACACGCATGACATTGGTCACCCAGTGATCAATCAATTGTGAGGATGAGATTGATATTCTGGACTTAACTGGCTGGACTAGACAGGAATCAGGACCAATAAGAACTCGAGACTGCTCGTACGGGTTTTATGCGTCACTGGTCCGATCAATAATTCACTACTCTTTAATTGGTGGTATCATTACGTTATACATTAACAGGGTACACAAGCCATAATTTATAACAAAATCATAATTATAATTCATCACACAGGTTTATAACCCTCGTTTAGTTCTAGTTACTAGGTGGATACTCTCAAGGTCACTTAAGCGTCACTCAAAGGTCTCATCAAATCTATAATTTAAACAACAACTGAAATCAATATTTTGTAATAAATTTCAATATCGATTTATCAATTTTTATATGTTTGTTTACATTAAAATGTAAACTAATCAATTTTAGCGCTATTTATGAATGATAAATAAGAGACTGAAAGCCCTAGGTTCGAATCCCGCGAGCGGGATTGTGGATGCTCACTGCCACTGAAAAGTCCTATACTAGGACGAAACGACCTTCCAGTGCTTTGAGGTTTCCAACGGTGGTCTAACACCAGTCGATTCATGATCTCAATCAAAAACTTAATAATCTCCATAACCCTAATACCGAAGATTACTGTAATTGGACTAAGATTTATACAAATTCACGAAAATTAGTAATGAATATAGTTTATTCTAATGTGGGACTGCTTAACAATGTGCATCAACGATCCCGACTTGCAAGATTCAAAACCGAGGAGTTCCACAATAGGACGAAATGGCCATGCAATGCATCCAGGTTTTCTATGATGGTCTAGCTTCAATGGACTCATGATCTTAACTACTGAAATGACTATAGTATCCACAAAGATCCCTTCTGATATAGTTTAGTAAGAAAATTATTGAAAAAGGGGAAAAAAATAACAACACATAAAGTACTGGAACATTTTCCACTCTCTTCCTTATTGTTTAAAGTCTGGTCTATCCAGGTATATCAGTGAATGTTACTTATTCCTGACCACTATGATTACCTTCAAGGGTCAAGTCAGTCAATTTTCCAGACTACATAACAATCAACCATTACCAATAAAGATCACTATTTTATTCTTGATTGTGGAGATTGTTGAGGTAAAATGATTTAAGTTAGATATCAACACCATTGAATACTGACACAATGGTCTAGAGATTAGGCGCTTATGCGAGAAACAGAGAATACTAGGTTTGATTGCCGGTTATGGGTTCCTAAACATGTACTGTTGTGGAGTCTTATACTAGGAGGAAACGGTTGTTCTGTGCTTCCAGGTTTTCAGTGGTGGTCGAAGATTGATTGGTTCATGATCTCAGCAATGTATAATCTTTTCTTGATTTTTTGTAGGTATACATAGCTGACGAGTCCCAAATAGAACGAAACATACGTCCTAGATTTCACTGCTAGCCATCATCCATCTTTGCTTAAAATGCTTATGAGTTAAGGAAATATCAAGGCAATCCTCACAGGATGTACATATACCAATGATAGACTGATTAGTTGCAATCATAAACAACAATGGTAAGATCCAAACAAACAATACAGAATGAATCCACACAAACATACAACTAAAGATAGATAGTGGCTAGCAGTGGAATCAAGGGCGGTTACTTTGTCTTATTTGGGACTCGTTAGCTAGATGTACCTGCATTACAGATTTGATGTTCACTCCAAGACTCGAACCCAGTAACGTTTGTTTCAAACTCCATCGGGTTATCCACTTAGCTACTAAGCGAATAGACAATAACAAGTGAATTTAAACAAACTTAGTTGTCTCTATTGTTGTTAACAGTTAGAAACTTTGTAATGACTCTGACTAAAAAAAATCTGAGTAAAATTATGTAATGTAAAATATCTCAGTATGTGGTAGTAATTATAAACCTAATCTGTTCTCATACGGATTATCCTCATGTGATTAAGTCATCATTGATTATAGAAAACGGATCAATAGTGTGGTATGTGCTATTGATGTCGATAGATATAAGTAGTATGTACATCATCAATCGAAAATGAAATGCCTGGCGGTAGAAGGTTAAGAAGATCGAATAGAAGAGAACGGCAACAGAGAGTGATTGATGTGGAAACGAAAGAACAATGAAGTCTGTGACCATTAATTGATATTTTGTAAATGAAGTATCCTCAGATTTTACTGAGGGATTCTGTAATTATGTATCCATACATATTTGATTGTACCCATTGGTGTTCTTGTTCACTACAATGGATTTGTGTACTCAACAGTGACTAGCATCAAGTTATAACTTCTGGAATCCTAGTGAGAAGGTGTGATCTATAGAGTTCAACCATTTTGATGTGGAACAGTTATTCGCCGCAAGCAATGGATGACGGTTAAAGAGTATCGTAGATTTGTTGAAGTTAGATATTAGCACAGTAGTAAACGAGAAATCAGATGGGGTAAAGAAGATATATTACTTTAAGCGAAATTACAAAGTGACTACTTAATATATGAAAAACGCTTCATGATTCTATCACTTCTGTTGCTACTACAATTGTTCTCTTCTTCCCTTCCTGTTCTCTTCAATTTAATCCTCTCAACCTTCTTCTGGCACATATACCACATCCGATTACTGCAACATACTACTTATATTTGTCAGAGTAGGTTGTATGCACCAAACCACCAATGAATCCTGACTCAGTGGTCTAGAGATTAGGTTCTGGGTTCAATTACCGGATGCAGGTTCATGGATGCGTACTGTTGAAGAGTACCTTACTAAGATGAAATGAAGATCCAGTCCTTCCAGGTTTTCAATTGTAGTCTAATTAATTTCAACTCATGATTTGGACTATGGGAATATACAGAATAGTTATACCATGAATTTACTTTTTATAGAATAATAAGAGCTATTTATCAAACACTCATCTCCTCTTATCGCCCATTTCATTAGTTGAGGTAAATACAATTAAAGTGTTAGAGTAATATGACTGTACCATGCATGGATGAGAGCACAGAATACGTAGAGTAGCAGCCAACTTTCTATTCTAATAAGAAAGAACACTGCAATACTCTCCCTACAGTGTATGTTTAAGTAGTTACTTCAATCATGTTATATTTTTTAACATGAATACGTGTAATTCCTTAACGCTGTTGATTTGTGATCAGCATTTTTCTCTATATTATGTAATGAGTGACTACATAATTAGAAGTTATCTGCTTTCTGTTTTGTGTTTTCTTTGATTATCGGGTAGGCAGGGGTGGGGCACTGACTTCTAGACCAATCGTTACTTGGTGTTGTTGTCATCTGTTGCTCACATTTATCGTGTCATTGGTTTGCCGGAGGTTAGTGGCACTAGATAAACTGTCTATGAGCTGATTAATACTCATATAAGATTAATACAACTGCTCTCCTCTCTTACGGTTTGATGTGGTATTTCTTTAAACAAACTCTGTGAAATGTAATAGTGAGGTAGTTACTTATAAATGCTGATCTCTGTATGTAATACGAATTTATAAATATGGACCACTGAACAGATGTATGGGACTCCTCAGTAGTGCACATTCATGATCCTGTATATGAGAGTCGAACACAGGATCCATCGGTCACACGCACAAACGTTTAACCACCAGACCACTGAACTGGTCGGCATACAATGGTATTAATGTCCAATCTCAACTAATCCACGAAATTGAACAACTGATCCATAATTGTCTTCAATGAGTTGATATCTCACAACAGACTCGATTGAACTTCACTGGTCACTGCTTCTCACTAGAACTCCAGGATATACCACTTGAAGCCAGTCACTAGTAAGCATATGTTGATCAATATCAGAAGGGGTTTTGTGAAGATTGTAGTAATTTCAATGGTTAAGATCATGAATCAGTTCAAACTAGACTACCATGGAAAATCTGGAAACACTAGACGGCCATCGAGATTTTCCATGGTGGTCTAGGTTCAACTGACTCATGATTGTAACCACTGAAATTACTACAATCTCCACAAAACCCCTTCTGATAAGAATAATAATAATAAGGTATTATTATTATTATTATTATTATTATTATTATTATTATTATTATTCATTACATAAGATACTTACCCATAATCAATAAGGAATTTATAATGAATATAACATGATTATTAGAATAGCAGTTCAATCATTCATATAATACATGATGTATTTAGTATCTGTGGTATTATTGATTGATTGATATGTATATTTATCATGATATAATGATACACAAATTTCAATAGAATAAATTTGATTGGTTTATTTCATAGATATTCGATTAGTTATATCTATACTATTTAAATTATTGAACATAGTTTAGTTACTAAGCTGATATAGTAACTAAGTGAAGATGATGTATTTAATATATAATAGTAACTAAGTGAAATGATTATGATTACTATTATTTTTTTTTTTAAAAAAATATTCAAATATAGATACACTGTTATTTGATAGATTAGATGAAAACATAACAAAAAAAATACTGTATAGACGAACCAATCAGATAAAAGATCATAGATTTTCACAATTGATTGATCACTGGGTAGTGACCAATGTCATGCGTGTCTAGTCCTTATTATTAGTGCAGATCGAATGCTATCGATCATGTTGCAATGTGGCCATCAGTCTAGGTGATTCGACACGGATAGCTCAGTGGTAACGTCTCTGACTGTGAAGCTGTGTGATACGGGATCGAATCCGTCAGGGAGCACCAGTTCCCTCGAAGATTACAGGTACACCTTACTGACAAGTGCCATGTAGCACGAAACCCTGGTCCAGGATTTCCTGTCGACTACCTCCAACCACCATCTAAACTTCCTTAATGTTTCTGACTAAACTTCAAATGAACGCTGATTGGATGTAATGCTTCTTTATTGTTTTCCTGATCCTTTCTTGACTTTTACGAGTAGTTTTCTGAAACACTCCAACACCAATAATTATAATTTCAATGTATGTTAAATGGATATTTGTCATAATATTACATAATTGATGTTAAAACCACCCCCCCACTGTTACATAATTTATGGTATTCAACAGACTAAATATTATTATCATGAACATGGTTGTTAAAGAGTCACTTATATTTTGTTATATCCCTATGAGTAGAAAATCGTATTCCTGATGTTTCGTAACTTGATGTGAACTACTTCTTCAGAGCAGATAAGTAAAAGAATTAGATTAACACAATTCACATGGCATTGTATGCTTGTATCTTGCCATTGATGTTTAGGATTGCAGTTGATCAGCTTCATATAGGCATGTGTACATCTTGTACGGACTACAGCGATATTACCTTAAATCATAACCTTTATAGGCAAAGATGGATAGTGGCTAACAATGGAAACCAGGACACGTGTTTCATCCTATTGTGGACTCGCCAGCCGGACACACATGTATCTCAGAGTTGATGTTCACTCTGGCACTCCAATCCACTACCATTTTGCTTTAAACTACATCGCGTTATCCACTTAGCTACTGAGTCTTGATAGCGACTTGTTTGTGCAATGGGGTGAATTTAAATTCACTTGGTATTGTTGTTTACTTGTATCTTCCCATTGTTGTTTTAGGACCGAAATTGATCAGTCACTTGTTAGCATTTGTGCATAAAACGTCACAAAACTATTTATTCGATTATATATACATATGTACTACTTATATTATCGAACATATTTGATTCCTAGCTGACGAGTTTCAAAGAGAACGAAACGTGTGTCCTGGATTCCACTTTGCTTACAATGCTTGTGACAATATCGAAGCAATCCACACAAGATACACATATGCCAATAAGAGACTAATCAATTGAATGAATTTAAACTTGACCACATTGCACAAACAAGTGGCTATCAGTACTCAATCGCAGCACTTCATATTACAAATGCGTATGGTTTTCATACCCACATTCTGACACACAGAATAATACAGTGAAAGGTCATACTAAAAATTCACTTTGACCAAGAATAATTTGATTTCAACATGTTCACACAGATTATGATTTTAATAGTTGAATTCATGAATCACTTGAAGCTAGACCACCATGAAAAACCTGCAAACATATGACAGCCGTTTCCTTCAAGTACGGAACTGATTAACAGTGCTCATCCATGAATCCACATCTGGTAATCGCGCGCAAATTCTTAATCTTTAGACGATTAAGACAGAATTCAAAGGGTGTTAATGTCTAATTTTAATCAATCCATGGTATTGAAAGATCATCTTCCATTATATGTAATGGGTGACTACCACAACACGACACTGATTGACCTCTACTGACCGCAAAATATCACTACAGCTCTAGAAATTTCCTCTCGAGTTTAAACACTAATGAGCATGTGATAATTGTCATTACGGGGTTGTGGATAATGTTAACAGTCACTAAAATCATATATAAGGCAGCGTCTACAACGAGTTCGTGTCCCATGTTACTATTCTCTTGATATGTGCTCATATCGTACTTCTAATGTTTAATGGAATCCCATGGTTTAACGTTGTAGGATTATCAATATAGGGGTTGTGGTGATTACTAAGATTTTGATTGAGATCATCAACTGATCGATGTTAGGCCACCATTAGAAACATGGAAGCATCGGAAGACCGTTTCGTTTTAATGTGACACTCCTCATCAGTGCGCAGCCACGATCCTTCTCTCAGGATTCGAACCCAGAGCATTCAGTCTCGTGCGCGAACGCTTAACCTACCTCAGTACAATCGAACATGGCCGCTCAATTACGCGGATTGGTTGATATTAGACACTAATGCCATTGGATGCCGGTTCATTGGTCCAGTAGGTTAAGCGTTCGCGCGCAAGACTGAATGTCCTGGGTTTGGATCTCGCTAGCGGAGTTGTAGGTTTAATTTGATCGTCTGTTTAATTTATCCAGGTAACTTCCAATTCAAAAGTTCTATGTGTTAGTTTATTTTTATTCCCCTATAATTTAGAAGTGTTAAAGCCAGAGATTACATAGAATAATTTAGAAAGAATTCAATACAGTCATGTTACAACTACCCTGTTCTATTATCAGAAGGGGTTTTGTGGAGATTGTAGTAATTTCAATGATTAAGATCATGAGTCAGTTGAAGCTAGACCACCATGGAAAACCTGGAAGCACTGGACGGCCGTTTCGTCCTATTATGGGACTCCTCAGCCTCCTTGAAGCCAGTCACTAGTGAGCATATGTTGATTATTATCAGAAGGGGTTTTGTGGAGATTGTAGTAATTTCAATGATTAAGATCATGAGTCAGTTGAAGCTAGACCACCATGGAAAACCTGGAAGCACTGGACGGCCGTTTCGTCCTATTATGGGACTCCTCATGTTCTACTTAAACAAAGAGGAATCCATACATAAAATATGATGTGACTTTCTACTGAGCTAATCCATTCAAATATGTTTCATCGATCAATGATTTATTATTCAACACATTCATATTCCTGAATACATTCAAAGATGACTCAAAAAATCTGGATCATATTGGAAGCAGTTGTGTCCTTGGTCAAACAAGACATTCAGTGAATCTAATCAGTCGTTTTCAGTAATTTATCATGTGAGTAAAATTCTACCAAAATCTGTTAGATACTCATACCCAATATGGTAATGGTCATTTTAATTAAAGGATGACATCATTCAGTGGAAATGTATACAGAACATCTTGTATTTTTATAACAAATATGCCCACCCCCTTCTCAATACCTTCAACTGAATCCGAAATGCTAAACCTATTTTCAAGGGAAGGGGGTGGAAGTAGATACATTGAACCAATCAGAAATCAGTCAAATAACAGGTGTATATAAATGTTCAAGTTTTGGCTTTTTTTTCTAAGAAATAAACCATACACCATTGAGGGTTTAGTCGATAAACTTCACTGTGAGGATGGTCCATAGGTGAACTAAAGGAAGCTGTAAGAATCTCAGAAAGAGATGAAGATATTGCATCCAATCATCTTCTAGAATTTCTACATGTAGCTTCGCGATTGGACAATGCTAATAACCCCCCTTCCCCTTGTGTACAGATTGGATAGCTATAATGATGATTTCATTTTTACTTAAAACTATAAATAGCTGACAGTTTTGTACTAGAATTTGATACTATTTGGAATAACATTCCTTTATGTTAGTCTTCTATCTTTTCATTGCAACTTGAAAGGGTTCTAGAGTTTCAGTGCTGAAGTTATACATGGTATATCAAGAATATAAACATCTAGATAATAACAACTGGAGACTCTCAATATTTTCATTCATGTAGCCTATTAGACTCAAGTATAGAATGATAGTATATCTGTATCAACAGTAAATTTATCTCATTCAAACACTATTATGATTGTGAAATTTTAATGAATTTTATCATTCAATACTTTCAAATATTCAATAGTTATCAGAAGGGGTTTTGTGGAGATTGTAGTAATTTCATTGATTAAGATCATGAGTCAGTTGAAGCTAGACCACCATGGAAAACCTGGAAGCACTGGACGGCCGTTTCGTCCTATTATGGGACTCCTCAGCAGTGCGCATCCATGACTTCACCCCCTGCGAGATTCGAACCCAGGACCTACTGGCTTCGCGCGCGAGCACTTAACCACTAGACCACTGAGCCGGCATCCAGGGGGCGAGGCCGTGGATGCGCACTGCTGAGGAGTCCCATAATAGTACGAAACGGCCGTCCAGTGCTTCCAGGTTTTCCATGGTGGTCTAGCTTCAACTGACTCATGATCTTAATCAATGATATTCAATAGTTGTTTAACTTGAGTTTATGATTTCAATCAGATCTTATAATTATCAATTTGTAACACTTGAATTCATAAGTCAATCTAAATGAAACCATTATTGAAAACCTGAAAGTATTAAACAGCTGTTTTGTCTTAGTATGGGAATATTTAGAATTGTATATCTATGATTCTGTATGTAAGATTCGAACCTAAGACTTAAAGTTTCGCATATGAACACTTAACTTCTAGACCATTGAGTTAACATCCAATGGTGTTAATATTTCATTTCAATCGATTCATATTCATGCCTAACCATTTATCCATTAATTGTCTCATAACCAAGATGAATTGAACTTCCCTTCAGGTTTTTAATAGTGATCTAGCTTAAATCAATTCATGAATTTAACTGTTACAATACTAAAATCTTTATAAATCCTAATTGGGAATTCAATTTTCATTAACTTCATTTAACTAATTCTTATTTAATTCAAATGATCGGCAAGACTCTAATTTATGGATGAGCCAATCAGGAGCGTTTTAGAGGTTTCAAGGTCATGGCGCCAACTTCAGTGATTAATGCTAATGTACGATCGGTTCACAAGGAACTTTGTACAAAACGTGATAATTGAGAGACTATAATAAATAAAATGGTGAGACTATAATTTGTCGACGAATCAATCAGGT